CTGTTTTAGATCCTCGTTCTTGAGAGAGGCAAGTTATATTGCGTGTCGTTGCAAAATTAATATACTATACCACGCCTGTCCAATTTAAACTCCAGAGTCAAAACGCAAAGCCATCGACGTAAAAAAATTCAATGTAAGATTTTAGGAAAGGACTTGTAATAAATTGTTAAGCGTCACTTAAATGCGTATCAACTTTACAGTCCCCGAAATCTTACCCACATTGAATTTTTTTGCGTCGATGGCTTTGCGTTTTAGTTCCGGAGTTCAGATTGGACAAGCATGTACTATACTTTTGGGGATCTTTCTCTTAGTTCATTTCAATTCCAGTTCAGTTCAATTCTGTTCACTTGTTGCCAGCGTCGTTATGGCATGAACACGTATACATACACGTGCGCGCGCGCGCGCGCGCACACACACACACACACAACACACACACACACACACAACACACACACACACACACACACAGCATGTGCAGACAATTGTTGTATATCCTTGTACAGAAAGCTTCATTTTTTCTTTCGTATATTTTTAGCAAATCGATCATGTTGAGCGCGCGTGATGGGGCATGGGGCCGCTTTACGCATATTTGCGAATATATAATTGATTTTATCAAGATACACACATGTCTCTTGTAGTAGCTGTAAGTACGTTTAGAATTAAGTATACGTGTATCTTAACGCAGACTTGAATTTTCCGGCGACTCTCTACGTCTTTTTTAGCGTACGATGTAATTTTTTCGATATTACACGGCGGTGTTACAAGCCACGAGCCACCATGTGATTGAGCCTTAATTACGTAGCCGATAAACGATGCGAATCGAGAAACTGTGTGCGAGAGAGAAAGAGAATGCATGTGTATGTAGCTCGCAGCTTCTCTATTAGATCGTTGCATATGAGATGTCACCTTTTGAAAAAGTGAAACTCTTCTTAATAATCAGAATCATGTATATTTACAATTCTTATACGCGAGCATAATACAATACGACCATAATTATTGCTTTTTCAAACTGTGGAAATACATGAACAAATTGAGAAATTTATCATATTTTTCTATTTTAAAGATATTTCAATTGGACATTAATAATATTGATATTGTTAATGTGTTACAATTACCATTATCTTTAATTCTATCATTATTTTATTATAATTATATGATTTCTATATTGGTTTTTGATAAAATAAGAATTAATTATAAGAATAATTTAGAAATGATTTATTGTAGACTACATACTTAGAACGAATCGTGTGAAAAAACATGAATAAGTGTATACAAAATTTAACGTCCGGAATATATAAAACTGGAAATATATATATATATATTTTTTTTTATATCTTTTTATCTTTAAGTTTCCTGTATTTTCGGTTACGATTTTGTGAACGTTTTTATTGATCGTCTTTAATAATTATTAAGGAATGTTGAATTGAGTTTTTTCAATTCTCTTACAATTTATATGCATCTTATGCTTGTTCAGAAATTAAAAATGCATTGATGTATATATAAAATCGACATTTCATGTGCAGGGACCTAATATTAAATCAAAATTAGTAGCATGATATTCTTGTGGAGCAGCGGTATCCCTGCGCCAAGTTCTAATGCTTGTTTATCAAAAACGACGAACTATTGTATTCACGAAAACAAAATTCCATTTTTTATCGTAGACATTCGCGCTGTTTCGAGGCTGCCGGCGGCCTGCAACCAACAAAATTTTGTCTCTTGTCCGATAAATTCGACCGCAACTCCACGTCCGTTCTAACGTTTATTTATTAACTTTAAATTTGACTGATAATACCAGCAGAATTATGTTTATTTCTTTGTTTTTCTTTAAGGCTACAGTCGCAGGAGCGTTAAAATAAAGTAACGGATGATACGACGAATAATGTTCATCATAATATAATATTGAAATTGACGCGCGACTCTCGTGCGATCGTAGTCTTATAGCGAATTCGGCAGACCGCACTAGTGAGCACTGAATGCTTAAATAACTTTTTCAGTTAATGCGTTGCCACGCATTCGGTTTGTGCGCACTGTCTCGGTGCGTTAAGATTGTCATATTCATATTATCATGGCAAATAAAAACTGAGCCCAATATAGTGCTGAAATTATATTCGGATCAACCGAATGAACTGAACGAGTTCAAAAAATATTGCACTGACGTGCAAATATTTCTAACAAGTGCAATTTGGCATAGCACTAAAGTGGTTTTGCACTCGCACCATATCAGGGCAGCATTAGAGCGGAGTCAGTGCCGAATTGGCTATTAATGTACCGTAAAAGATATTCTGTACTTTCTTCTTCGTTTGACCTTTTCTCTCTCTTTCTCTCTCTGTTTTTTTTTTCTTCTTAGCCCAACACTGAAGTGGTCCCTGCCCCTTGCCATCGCCATTCTCCCTCTCACATTCGTTTTTAACTCACTGGAAAAAAAAAAAATAAAAAGTAGTAAAAGGGTAATACGTTCAAATCTCTCGTCTCGAGACTCATGTGAATGATATAATAACCGCCGTTTCCTTCGTTAAATCATATTCCCGGGAGTGATCGGATTAATAGGAGATAAGCTCCCCGCGAAGAAAAGGCGTTTTCTCTGTCTTGTACTGCCTCGAGTCATCTGGTGTACAGCAGGCTGTATTATAATAAATTATTGTGGTTTCTTGTAATATTAACATTCCTAGATCCTATAGCGTGTACAGTGATTCTAATCGTATTCGGGATTAGAGAGGGGACTGAGAGAGGAGTCGAGTAACCGATAATAAGTGAAAAGAACGATGAAAAGAAAAACAGAAATAGGATTTCACTAGTTTCTTCTTCTTCTCTTCGTCGTTGAATGATGCCGAGATGAATATACATATGAACATGTAAAAATATATGTGTTTATATGTACATTTACACTCGTGTGTTTCTATATAAATTTTTAGAGGCTTTCTTATGATTGAGATTTGACACACTTGCACCCTGGATACACATATATTTGACAGCGGATTGGAAAATTTATCGTCACTTTTCTCAAGGACGTTTAAAAATCTCTCTTCGTCTCTCCCCCGCCTCCCGTTCCCTTTCCCTCCCCTCCCCGGAGCACATTGTCTCGACGTAAAATGAAAAAAAAAAAGAAAAAAAAAAGATGGCAAAAGATACGGATTTTAACAATTGATGAGCAAAACGTGCGAAAAAAAAACCTGTTTTTTAGAGGGAGTTAGAGAACGCGGATAACAAACGACTGTAAAATATCAAATTGTAATATTTTAATACTGATTTGCAGATGTGCATAATTTTAACGTATAGCTGGTTATAAAAGAGAACGAAAAAAAAGTGAGCGGATTGTAACTGATACTGAAATTGTGTGAGACGCGGTATCCGTTCCATGGAGAGAACGGTCGGACGAATAAAGGGGGGGAAAAAAGGAAAAAAAGAAGAAAAAAAGATGCGGAAATATTTCGAAAAAGGATCATGACATGAATTTCCTGTGTTATATTGCTAGGGGAATTATGATAGTTACACGAGAAGAAATGTTTGTTTTGTATATCTCTTAGGGATAAATAAACTTTTAACTGGATACATCTCTCTCTCTCTCTCTCTCTCTCTCTCTCGACGACGGCTCTTCTTCCTTCTGGCGACTCCATTTTCCAAAGCTGTGCAATCGAACGAATTCAATTAAGGAAATACATATATATTTTCACTATTCGTTTTTATCTTGCCGAAATTGAAAGTACATCAGAAATGACAAATTTTCAACGTGCCGAGGATTCGAGAACCAGAGAAAAAAAATTTTCAGAGAAAAATTTCTCTTATATTTGTATTCGAAGATAATTAAAAATAAATTAATTTTTTGCGACATGTAAATCGGCTTAAATTGAAATTGGACGATATGAATTTGATAAATTTTTGTACCTTCTCTTTGAGTATTTAAGCGGATTCCACATAAATAATCATAATATAAATTTTATAATTTTAATATAAATGCAATCAGCTCTGCAATATTCGTTTTACATTTACCGTGGAAAAAAAAAATAATCACTTTTATTGTGAAAAAAAATTTTCAAAAAATTAATGTGGATATTTGTGAAAGATGTCTATACATGCAGAATTTTACACGATGTATCCTTATTATTTGGATTATTTAATTAATTCTAATCCAGTCTAAAATAATTATGTACTATATTTTAATATCGCGATACGCGATATTAATTACAATGACTTGGTAATTTTTATTTATAGCTTCACACATTCGGCAAAATACTTTTTTCTTCGAGGCATCTTTACATTTTCATATACAAAACAAAAAAAATAAGAAAATCAACCGTGTTTTACAATTTTCTGTATAATGAAATAAATAATAATAAATTCTGTATAATAAAATGTAGGCGGACGATTCCTTGACGTCCACGCAAGATGTAAAACATATTTTATGCGATAAAAGCAAAATGTACATACAATTGTGTACAGCAATTTTGCGAGTGATTTTCTAATAAAGGTTATGTAGACATATATTGTACATATATATGTGTGCTAAAAGGAAAATGCAGTCAATAAATGCAAGTCTAGTTCGTTGCACTCTCTAGTATTTTCCGCATTTAAAATGAAATCGATATATAAATTCAGGTGCCGGAGAAAAGAAGAGCAAAAGATCCGAGTGTAGAAAGTGCGGACACGACAAACAGCTCACCGTGTAGATGCGCCTTTAAGGTTTGTTCGCTTAAAATTCCAAAAATATTTGCATTTAAAGCGAAATAAATAATATATCTAGGCATTGAAAAGAAAACGAAGATGCTTAGTGCAAATTTTTGCGCCGCGAACCGTCAAATCGTTCGGCGACAAAAAAGACCACGTGATCAAAACTGACGCTTGGTATTCGTCAATTTTGATCACGTGATTCTATTTGCCGCTGAAACGGCCGATTTGAGTGGCTTATGAAAATGCACTTTTAGCGAATACGTTTCGCGCCACCTATCGGCGCGACATCGAGCTATCATCGCATCGAACGGCTCACCGGGAGTTCGTTTCGCCGTTCTAGATACACATCACCTTTTTGTTGCGTGCTTTTTTGACAGTTACAAGGGGTATATACATTTGAAAATCCGACGCGAGGGATTTAATGGCCGCATGAAAGAGTCGTGAAAGCGGTCGTCCGGCTTGCGCTCGGTGTTGGACCTCTCGTTTTGACGCGCGTTCGTCAGGACGTCGCGCGTTTTGGTCTTCTATCCGTCGACTTCGATGCCGTTACTCTACTACTAGATAAGCACGACGACGAGGGACCGTCCGTCGAATCGCGGTGTCGACATTCGGCGCCGAGGCTCGAACTCCTTTCTCGGCTGTTTCGCCAGTGACGATACTCGCCGACAGGTATTCTGAAGTATCTTTTAATCGTCTCTGACTCTGATTTCAAATATCCTTTCGTCAAAGTAACATCACATTAATATACAGGATCTACTTACTACATGTTATATCAGTAAAGTATTGATAATTCATATATGTAAATATACAATTTTACAATAAATAGATTTGATACTTCAATTGTAATGCATAATCATTTCTCTAGCAAATAATCAAATGCGTGAGTATTAAAGAGAGAGTCAATTTTATATGATGTTACTCTTGTCCTCAAATTGTCAACTTAATTTCGGAAAGAGTTTATAAAGAATCCTTGTTAAATTTGCTACTTGAGATTCTTTATGAAATCTGATTGTTTAATTCAATGTCATTTTTTTATGCATCATAATTGAAGTGTGTGTCAAATCTATTTATTGCAAAATTGTATATTTGTATGTTTATTTTGAATTGTCAATACTTTATTGTATATAAAAGGAAATATGTATAAATATATTCTTTATATTAGTATGTTATGAGGAAAGGGATATTCCAAATGAATCATTCTTTCAGGATAATCAATCATGGAGCAGGACACAGAGTACATGAAATTGCCTCTGGAGGAGCGCTGTGCGCACAAGGTACTTACCACATTTAAATGCATTTGTACTACTTTTTGCTATTTCAGAAATTTTTGTTATTTGTCACTGCACTGAAACTTTCTATCTTGCTTTCACCAAACTTTGTATATATTGTATTTATTTGATTTTAAACAACAAGTACTAATTCAGTAACAAAAGACAGAATTTAGATTTGCAGTTTTATTAGTTTTAATTATTTTAATGAACTTATTACAAACTTGTGATAATTGTAATTAACAATTTATGATTTTTAATGTGTATATAAATGCATAAAAAGTTTTTATTTAAGGACAATGTTACTGTATACTGTACTAGTGTTAAATATTTTACTCACAATGATGTAATATCCTTAGAGTAGGGTGAACGTTAAATTAAATAAGTAATATTCTTTATATGATATTGCAGTCTTGGCGAGCACGTTTGCATGGATATGAAGAGTGTGTGAAGACATTCCAGTGCATCGACGATGAGAAGTCGCCAGAATGGAACAAGTACATAGGTTTCATCAAGAAATTCGTGCTGGATAGTAACGCGGCTGCGCAAGAGAAGGGACTGGAAGCAACTCTGGCTTTCATCGAGAATGCTGCAGTTGCTGGCAAGATAGTTATTGAGGTGATGAATGGTATCGTGTCCAAATGTATCGCTGCACCTAAAGCCAAGACGAAGGAACTAGCTGTACAGATTACTCTGATGTATATTGAGATTGAAAAGCACGAGGCAGTACAGGAAGAGCTGCTAAAGGGCACCGAGGCGAAGAATCCGAAGATCGTTTCGGCGTGCATTGCTACCTTGACGCTGGCGCTCAAGGAATTTGGACCCAAAGTAATTAATATAAAGCCACTAATGAAAAAGATAGCGAACTTCCTGGAAGATAGGGATAAGATGGTACGGGAGGAAGGCAAAGCCATGGTAGTGGAAATGTATCGATGGGTAGGCGATCGCTTGAAGCAGCAGTTGAACACATTGAAACCGGTGCACATTACAGAGCTTGAGGCAGAGTTTAGTAATCTTGGCGATGAGAAGGTGGTACCTACGCGCTATCTACGCTCCCAAAAGCCAAAAAAAATGGGCAATAGTAGCGATTCAGCAGCGGTAAGCGATAATGGCGAGGATGACAATGAAGATGCAGATGGTGCTTCGATTCCGGACGTCGATCCGTACGAGCTAATGACGCCTGTAGACATCCTATCAAAGCTACCGAAGGACTTCTATGAGAAAATTGAGGCGAAGAAGTGGCAGGAGCGAAAGGAAGCGCTGGAGGCGCTTGAAGCGCTTGTTAAAAATACAAAACTAGAGAACGGAGACTACGGTGACGTAGTGAAGTCCTTGAAGAAAATTATCTCGAAGGATACCAATGTGCTAGTAGTCACGCTAGCGGGGAAGTGTCTGGCTGGTCTAGCTGCAGGTTTAAAGAAACGATTTCAACCTTATGCCGCCGCTTGTTTGCCTGCCATTCTGGAAAAGTTTCGCGAAAAGAAGCAGACAGTGGTACAGGTATTACGGGAGGCTGCTGATGCCATTTACCAGAGCATGAGCATCGATCTCATTCTCGAAGACTCTCTAGCTGCTTTGGAGAACAAAAACCCGGCCGTGAAAGCCGAGACAGCTGCGTACCTGGCCCGATGTTTCACACATACACCACCTGCGAATCTCAACAAGAAGCTACTTAAATCTTATACCGGCATGTTGCTGAAGACGCTCAACGAGCCGGATCCAACAGTACGCGATAATTCGGCGGAAGCGCTTGGCACGGCGATGAAACTGATTGGCGAGAAATCAATGATGCCATTCCTAACAGATATTGATAATCTGAAAATGACGAAGATCAAAGAGTGTGCCGATAAGGCAGTAATAGTCGTTAAAGTAAAACAGGAGCGACCCAACACCGCTCCGGCCAAAATAGAATCGCAACGGACGAATAAGGCGAACAAAGAGAATTTGAAGAACAGCAAATCGAGTTCTGCGAAGAGACCGAATACTGGTATTGCGATCGGAAAGAAATCAGCAATAAAGAAACCCGGCAGTGCCTCGTCACTCACGAATCTGGCACCAAAGAAAGCGGTACAGATGGAGAGGAATTACAGTCCAGAAGAGATCGAGGAGATGGCGGCACAGCTTTTGCCAGCCGAAATAATCACCGGTCTTGTAGATAGCAATTGGAAAACGCGTCTATCGGCGGTTACGCAATTGTCAGATACCATCAAGACAATGAATTCGGCGGAGGTGCCAACCCAGGTGATCGTACGAACTTTGGCGAAGAAGCCTGGCTTTAAGGATACAAATTTCCAAGTAAGGATAGGATTGAGATTATATAATATTATTCGATATTAATAATAAATTTGATTTACATATTTTAATTTAGAGTTGAGACTTTTAACTTTCATTTTAATTATAAAAAACAAAAATATTTGTATAGTGTATGAAATCTAATTTAATTTCTGCTTTAAGGTGTTGAAACTACGCATAGAGATTGTAAAATATCTGGCGGAAAATCATCCCTTCACAGCCACCGTGGCCGAGTATTGCCTCATGGACATTGCAGAAAAACTTGCAGACGCGAAGAATAGTTCGATCGCCATCGAAACTTTGTTAACGATTGCTGAGGCTACAAGTTTTGAATATATAGCGGACGAGGTAGTGGCGTTTGCATTCAATCAGAAGAACCCTAAAGTACAGCAGGAGACACTGTTGTGGTTGTGTCGGGGAATCACGGAGTTCGGTTTGTATTATTTTTATTTACTTGCTATAATATTAATTGTAAATAAATAAAATATACACAGAAAATATCAATATTTTTAATTTGTCCAAATATCTTAGGTTGTGGTCTTAACATCAAGTCCATCATTGAGAACATCAAGAAGGCAGTAGCGGCTACGAATCCCAGTGTGCGCACAGCTGCTGTAACTTTGCTGGGCACTTTGTATCTTTACATGGGCAAACCGTTATTGACATACTTTGACAATGAAAAACTTGCACTACGACAACAAATCGAGCAAGAATGCGAGAAGCGTAACGGCGAAACGCCACCGGCACCTATTCGCGGCGCCAAGGCCAGAAAGGCCAACACTATGAAAATCGAGGATGAAGAGGAGGACGTGGAAGAGTCATCAGAGAAGAAAGCAGACGGCAGCGAACCGGATCTCAATGAATTAATTCCTCGCGTTGACATCAACGCGCAAATTACCGAAGCGTTGCTAGCCGAATTGGCCGATAAGAACTGGAAAGTGCGTAACGAAGCGTTGCAGAAGGTGAACACCTTGCTTAGCGAAGCCAGATTTATTAAACCGACTGTCGGCGATTTGCCGCAGGGATTGGCTCTTCGTCTCGTGGATAGCAATAGCAAGATTGCACAAGCAGCTCTAGGTCAGTAATTTATGTTAACTTAGCCATTATTTATTATTAATTGAATAATTAATGTATATACATATTAATGAAATAATCGCAATTATTGATAATTATCATTGAAATTAATTATTCATAAATGGGTTTTGTAATTTATAATTAATATCATTGAACTGCTTTTCTCTATATATACATATGTATGTGTGGTAGAAAATTGTTTAAATTAAACTAATTATAATCTAGAAAAAAATATCTTGCTACTATACTGCTAAATATAATTTAGCAGTAAATTATTATTTAGCAGTATATAGTTCGATAGTATATAGCTCGATAGTTCTTAAAATTTTATTTTTTAATTGCAATCAATAATCAATAGTTTTATTACATTTTGTCCAAATATATTCTAGGTATATGCGAAACGTTGGCGACGGCTATTGGATCACCAGTGAAGCAGCACGTTCGTGCTCTGTTTCCCGGATTTTTGCAATGTCTAGGTGACAGTAAAAATTGGATTAGAGTAGCTGCGACTTCCTGTATCAATACATGGGGAGATCAGTGCGGCTATAAAGAATTCTTTGACGGCGAGATAATAGGCGATGCATTGAAGGCAGGTTCGCCGATGTTACGATCTGAACTATGGAGTTGGCTGGCACAGAAATTGCCCTCGATCCCGGTGAAACAGATTCCCAAGGAAGAGCTTTTCGTGTGCCTTCCTTATTTATATGCTAATCTAGAGGATCGTAACTCGGACGTACGAAAGAACGCTCAGGAAGCTGTTCTCGGCTTCATGATTCATCTCTCTTACGAAGCGATGGTTAGAAATACCGAAAAATTGAAGGTATTTGTGTGAATTACAGAATATTTCTTATATATAGATTTTTTAATGATTTGTATAAGTAAAATTTAATAATTTTACTTGTCTATCATTAATTAATTTAACATAATGAATAATATTGCTTATGATGATAAAATATATTGCAATTTGAAATTATATAATTTTTGCAGCCCGGATCGAGAACAGTGGTAATTGCTGCATTGGACAAAGCTCGTCCTAGTTTACCCATAAAGCCTCTTCCTAAGAAAGAACCGTCAGATGACAATATCCAGAAGAATGGCGCGAAGGGTGCAAAAGTAGTAAAAGCTGTTAAATCGGTAATAAAATTAAATATACATACATGGTCTGATGAATTAAATTTGTGTGAATTAATATTCTCTCTCCTCTCTCTTTCTTTCTCTCTCTTTCTCTCATAAAAATTTAATTCTATTAAAATATTTTTATAATGACTTTTTTCTGTTTTTCGATGTATCGTTAATCGTACATTGTTCCAGAAGGGCGCTTCATCCAAACCGGGCAGCGCTCGCAAAAAAGATGATGACGTTGATACCAGTCCTCTGTTGGTGGTCAACAACCTGAAACATCAACGTGTGATTGACGAACAGAAATTGAAAGTGCTCAAATGGAATTTTACTGCACCCAGAGAAGAGTTTGTTGAGCTTTTGAAAGATCTTATGACCACTGCAAACGTCAATAAGACTTTGAGAGCAAACATGTTTCATTCCGATTTTCGATATCATCTCAAGGCTATCGAAGCACTCACCGAGGTAAGTATATGTATGAATCAAAACATGTATAGGAAAAAAATCAATACTTAATATTCTTTCTCCTTGATAAACTTTACTAACGTTAATTTAATTGTATTATATATTATAAATAAATCATTTATATTAAATTACATAAATTGGTGGCATTTCAAAAATTAATAAAATTTTGGAAAATATTTTTTATCTTAATAATGTTTATAAAATATATATATGTTTAATATACAATATCGATTCTTGTTTATATTATTTTTATCAGGATCTTCCTGGAAATAGTAAAGCATTAGTGTCTAACCTGGATCTCATTCTCAAATGGTTGACATTGCGATTTTTCGACACTAATCCGTCGGTACTTTTGAAAGGATTGGATTACTTACAATTGGTCTTTAATATGTTAACTGAAGACCAATATCACATGTTGGAAACTGAAGCAGCGTCATTTATCCCTTATCTCATTATCAAAGTATGTCATCAATTTTGTATTATTCCTCTTTTTTTCTTTTTTTTTTACCTATAACATTATATATGCCATATTAATCAATAGATAGGCGACCCAAAGGATGCTGTGCGTAATGGTGTGCGAGCTTTATTCAAGCAAATAGCTCTTGTATATCCTGTGAGCAAATTATTCTCATATGTAATGGAGGGCTTAAAGTCAAAGAATGCTCGACAGCGAACAGGTAGACGATCTGATTCTCCATATTTATATAAAATGTTATGAAAATAATATGTAAACGTGTTAAATGAAAAACGTGTTGGCGCTTGCAGAATGCTTGGATCAATTAGGATCGCTAATTGAGAATTATGGAGTTTCTGTTTGTCAACCCACCCCATCTGCGGCATTGAAGGAAGTTGCGAAGCAGATAGCAGATCGTGACAATTCCGTTCGTAATGCCGCGCTGAACTGCATCGTTCAGGCCTACTTCCTTCAAGGGGAACGTATATTCAAGCTCATTGGCCAGGTAAGCAAGTTAAATTAATTAATACCATTAATACAAGAAAAGGAAATATAAGTCAATTATATTTTTTGCTGTATACAGATATCGGAGAAAGATAAGTCTCTGTTGGACGAAAGAATCAAGAGAGCTGCAAAGAATAGACCCATAAAATCTGCATCCACTACTAGACTCTCTACGCCAGCGATTGCAACCACCAGTCCGGTGACGGATGACATGGAGGCGGATTACGAAGAGGAGCAGGAAGAGATTGCCGAGCCAATGGAGGCAGTACCAGAGCTGTGAGTTATTTTTACATGTGATATTACGAAATTTTTATCGTGCTAATTGTTTGACAGAATAATAATCTTTTTTAACCATGTTTTTATTTTTTCTATAATATTTTCTTATGGAATTTTTTTCTAATATTTTTTTTATCTCCAAGTAATTCATGTTCGCACGTCCTTCGCTTTTAACATATCCGCAGGGCATGTGTCACAAGCACTACACACAATAATGAGGATGAGCAAGTGCCTTCTGAGTCTTCTTCAAAATCGGACCAGGAAAATATCAGCAATCATGAAACTGATACACAAAATCATCTTTCCAATCGAGATGATTCGAAAACGTTTGTTACTTCTTTTGTTGATTTACACAACTTTGTGACGCGCTCTAATGACATGGTGCTGGGAAATATCGCGGAATGTCATCGTGCATCCTGCGTGCAATATCTCGTCTATTGTCGAATATATTGTCATTTATATATCTGTTTCTTTCAGTTCCATTTTCTACGTTTTAATTTGCTTTCTCTTTTCTCTTCTTTAATATGCTTGAATGTGTCATCTGTTTCGTTTCAGAAACAGAAAATGCAAAAGGAATCTACAGATTTAATTAGCAATGAAATAATAAATAATACTTAATAGCATGATAATCTATTTACATTAACGTAAATTGAAAATATTTTTTACTTTTTAGATTGCTGTAATATTTGATATCTTTAATCAACTACAATTTGTATTCAAGTAGTAGTGTATTTGATCTGATTTGTGATGTGTGTTTATTCCTTCAAATTTCAAAAATTCTGTCGACATCTATATACAATGCATTTATTTTCTAGAAATTCTCCTACATCGATGCAACCAAAGATTCCTTCGGGTCCCTTCGGATTAGACATGGAATTTCTGCAGAGAATTGAATTGAGTGCCCCAGTGAAATATCGTAATCCGATATTAGCGGAACCCAGCTTGTCAGATTTGAACGAGCCTCCAGTTAATGTGTTGAACCCACCCAAAACACAGTAAGTTAAGCTTAATAAAATAATGAATTATTAATATAATTAAACTATGCACAACAACTATGGCACAAACCAAATAATTTATTTTATTTAAATTATTAATGTTTATTATTGTAATTTATTAGGTATTAATAAATTTTTGATTTTCTACTTTTCAGAATGATACCAATTTCGCCACCGAAATTATTAGTGTCAAAATTATCGTCCGCTGTATCTCCTACTACTGCTAGCAGTAAAGATGAGACACTCGAACGTAACATTTTGTCTATGGCCAGTATGGATTTACCCACTGCAATACAGTCCATGAATGCAATAGAAAACGTTTGTATTTACTTTTTTGTTCGAATATATTAAAAATATACAAATATTAAAAAATTTTTTTTAATACGTAGCTTTTAATTATCGTGATTTCATCCAAATTCTTGGCGTGGAGGTATAATTAAAATTATCAACTTTTTAAGAATTTTTTTTCTGTGGAAGAAATCGATTAAAGAAACTTTTTAAAAATGCAAAATTTTATATTTTGAATGCCTGTATAATATGTGCATATATATTAGTTTTCTTTTATTACAGTTATTAAAGTCTCATCAAGCGGTCAGCTTGCAATCCAGGGAGGATAAATTCATTGGATCGATAAACATGCAACTGAAATTATTACAAACGTATCCATTACGACAAGAAAATGCAGATGTGTCGAGGGGTTTCAGAAACACATTTCTGGTTATACTCGTGGTGAGTGCAATTGCTTCACGATCATATTATTTTATAGATTATATATTTCAATAAGAGATTTAATATACATTAAAAATATATAAAGTTTAATTTTTGATAAAAAGACATATGTCTGTCAAAATATTTTTTTAAAGGGATTTAATAAGAAATTTAAATTAGAGACTTTCATAAAAAATTTAATTTTAATCAGCTGTTTCAAAAACTTTTGTTTTAGTTTTATGACACTGGATTTCTTGGAAAAAATGTTCCTTTCATACATTTAAAAGAATTAGTAGATCAGATGATAAGTTTGTTGGCCGAAAACAAGTTGGAACATTTGCATCAGGCTGGAGCGTATTACAGGGTGATCAATAACATCATGGTGAAAATTATTGACAATTCTAATCACACCACCATCATATGGTATGATTTATGAGACAATAACATATTTATTATTTATTTTAATTTTTTTGTACTTTATTTATTATGTTTGTTTATAGTGTATTAATCAAACTGCTTCATTCCTGTGCTGAATCAAATGTTCCTTCAAAATACGAGGAATTAGTGATGAAATGTTTATGGAAAATCGTGAAAACAATGTCGAATTGGGCCGCTGATTTAGATTACGATACAATACTCTTGGAAGTGCATCGTTTTCTTAAGGTGGGGTAATTTTTTAATAATATTCTATGTATATAATGACCAATTATTTAAAGTAAGTGAGAATATATACAAGAAAGATTGCTATTGTTATATTTTGCAACTTATACGGGCTATTAAAAAGTTAAATGTTGCAATTATTTTTTTTACTGTGTCTTAAATATTTCAGTGTGATATCATTTTGTACATTCTATGTATATATATGTTCTTTTTTGTATGTAGGATTATCCTACTACGTGGTGGAAGAAACGAAAGTCCGATACTCCGCTACGAACAGTCAAGACGGTTCTTCACAGTATGACCAGGGTGAAAGGCAGTTCGATACTTAATCATTTGACGCTAATAAACAATACAAATGAATCTGAGTTGCACGCTTACTTAATAAGATTAATTGCGGTTAGTTGTGTTTTATATATATATATATAAGTACATTGATTTTCAAGTATTTAAATATAGTCATATCGCGTTGATATAAGATATTAGCACTATATACGTATTAAATTATACATATCAGAAAGTAATTAACGATATTTATCGCAATAGAGTCTTAAGCCAGATGAGATTAATGCAGCAAAAGTGACACCAAAATCGAATAATGTGGGAAGGACGCCAAAACATTTGTCCAAGTCTACTCGTCAGCAACTGGCAGAAATATTCAAGAAAATCGGATCAAAAGAACAAATGCAAGAGGTATATATTTATGTGCAACTAAAAAAGTCTTTTTTATAAATAAAACAAAAAATATTCCAGTTGTGAAAATTATTAAATATTTGCGAAAATTATTAATTTTTTTTTTTATTTATTTTGTCGTATTTTAAAATGCTTCATATTGTTCTTATACATTCTTAAGGTTTTTAATGACGTTTTTGCAATTTAAAATATACTTTTAGCCATTTGATCGTATTTTTGTAGGGCCTAGTGCAGTTATACGATTTCAAACTTCAATATCCGGAGGCTGACGTACAACCATTTCTGGTCAAATCTCATCAATTCTTCCAAGACTTCATAGAACAGGGATTAAGGGAGATCGATCAGGCGCGAAAAAATCAAACTATTTTGTCGCAAGCTAACAATCAGTACTCTATGGGTAAGTAGCGTCAGTTGAATTTTTCAATTTCGTGAGCATAAAAGAGTTGGTTAACAAAACAACTTGCTCTTTCGTCTTGTCAGTTTAATATGGATATATTTTTTCTGATAAAAATAGATAAAAATCCACGATCTTCGTTCAAACATTGAAATCCGTTTCACATGCAATGTAATCACGCACAAAATAACATTGTCTTTAATTATTTAGTCACATGTAAAATAAATGATACAGAAACCACAGAGTCTTCAGCCGCGGTTGCTGATGAGAAGGACCTCATGGATCCAATGTACAGGCTCGAGAAACTTCGAGCCCTTGAAGCACAAAGTAGAATGACCTCCTCCCAGCCGAATCCACCATGAATGATCCAGTATAAGTTTATTAATTAGGTAAGCGGGACACACGATACATATATACATGTATGTGTAAGATGATGCATATTTGTCCGACTTATTTATTCGTGTCTTTCGAAATGTTTAATCCTATGGTATTCTCCACCGCTGATTTTCCATTGAGATGAATCATTAATCGCTTTGCGTACGAATCTCCGATTTCTTCGAGACATAGTCCGATTATTTGCTCTCAGTGAATTAATTTAAATGATTTGCATAGTTAACAGAGAACTTTAGCGACCGCGAATCGTAAGAAATAGTATAGCTGCACCATCAGACACGTGCTACATCGAACATCGTAACGATCCTGCGTTCTAATTGTAGCAATGTTACATTTTATATAATGTAACGACGATGCGCGCATGCTAATAATGTTTTGTTTCTTCCACAACAGTTATGTATAGTTAATATTAATGTTACTAATTATGTAAGGTCGATCATATAATAGTACATGTATAAGTATACGAAACTTGCACGATTCGAGCGTCACTCATGTCGTAGCATAATTTAATTTTACATTGTTTAACTTAGTATTTTTTTATGCTGTTTTCTAAATAAATTTGTTCTATTTAAACTCGATTAGATTCATAATCACCATATCGTCGTTGTTTTCGCAAAACCTCCATCGCGATGAAAATAAATTTCTTGATATGACAAACGAAATGCTATGATAAAATAAATAAACCCATCTCGTACGTGATATGCGTGCTGAGCGATTTCTATGCCATTCTTAAAGAAAATTATTGGCACAGAATTCAGTGTATAGTTTTAATCGGCGAGGTACAATTAATCTAGCAGAGATATTAAAATAATTTTAGAATAATAATATATCATTCTTTAAAACATTATCTGGACTTCCGTATCATCCAATCTCCGAAAGTTGCATTTGAAAAAAAAAAAAGATACAAACGGATAGACAATATATGGACTTGATATAATCTATGTGCGCGATGTTCAATGTGATGCATTATTAATTTTAGACAGAAAACAATATAATTTTTTTGATTTTTGTCGTATAAAAAAATATTATATAATTAATAATAAAATATAAAAAAGAGGTGATTATTTATAAAAGTCTCATTTTTTAATATTCTTCAAGAGATTATATACATATCATATAATTCAAAAAAATTTGGTGCTTGTTGAGGCTTAAATATTAGACAGATATTTATTTATTATATAGATATTTTTTTCATACCAGCCTTTTTATATGAAAGATAAAGACAGGAGGTTTCGCGGAGATAACAGCGATTTATCCTATCTATTAAGACGCAAAATGTCATACTCGAGTTAGTATTTATGGATAAAAAAATAATAGTTATATCAGCATCGACACCTCGATGTTTATTATTCGATATAATAAAAAAAAAACGACGTTGAGCCGTAAGAAGCTCATAACTCAAAAACAGAATTTCATGTCTTTCAGAATAAAGAGGATATTGTCTACTTGAAATACTTTGAATACATATTCTAGTGTTGATAATTTTACTTCGAAAAATTGTCCTGTGCGATTTGATTGGTATCAATTATGAAAATAAAATTAATTTTATAAACACAGTGTTTACAGAGAGAATACTTATAGAAAATTTACACGAATTAATCAATATCGCGCGATTATTAAATTTAACTTTTTACCATAGATTAAATTATTAATTGCTGCATTATAAAACGCATATGTAAATTATGATTGACATTGCAATTTTTCTCTCTGTTTACGAAACATTGCTATAGGTACTTGTGATTAACAAAGTTTTTAAGTTACGAGATTTTTGTGGCTTGACGACGTGGAAAGCGTATTTACCTTTCTAATATTATCGATGCAGAGAAAAAAAATAACAAAGGGAACGTAGTTAATAATATATATAAAAAGGAAAAAATAGAATCTACTTTACTATCTGAAAACCTCACGACTCGAAGTTGCTGTATTTGAGAACTTACCGCTTTTCCTGAAGACTTATTCTGTAGTGTAAATAGAACTCATGTATATACATGCACTAATAAAATTATATTCGACAAAGCTGATATGTCCGACAAAATATAAATACACAATATGAATTTTTCCTTTACAACACGTCTATAATATTCGACACTATCGAGTTAGATTTCGAAGATTTCAGTTTTGATTTTTAATTTCAACATATATTAAAGCACGATATTTTATAAAAGTGTGTTCTAATTTCTCTGAAATATTTCTAATTTTTCGAGAGTAAATTTGTGAAAATGTAAAACACTGGAAATTCATATAACACGATTTTCATTCGTAACGATTCTGTATTTGTACTGTCTATTTTACAATATTTATTTATATTTCCACATCAAAAATTTCTTTTATAATATAAAATAGATTTTTCAAAATAACTTTACTGCTTTATAATTGTATGTATTTATCATTGTTTGGTGTAGAAATATTCTATTTACAACTGTATTTTTGTAGAAATTTTGTTCCATTGAAAAACGAATATTCCTTTTGTCACATTTTTTTGTTTCATCAAAT